CAGAGCTGGATTAAGTCTTCTCTAGCCATGACCGAATCCTTGTCAAATAGTGAACAATAGACAAAACATTTTTTCACCGATGCAGAAAGTAAGCGATCATAGCTTACCTTTAAGACTTGCAACACACCCTTCTCACCATCCTCAAGATTTGAAAGCCCAGACTGTAGAACTGAATCCCACACTTTTATTTCCTTTATTTGCAAAACTCTTCCAATCACATTTGCTGCTAGAGGTAAACCTCTACATTTGCGAGCAATCTCCAATCCAGTAATCGCAAATTGTTCTGGTACTTCTTTATCTTGAAATGCCATTTTTCTGATTATGGACCAGCAATCACCTTCTGTCAATAACCTCAAGCGACATGGATGATCACAAGTGTTCACAATCGATGCCACCTCTTCTTCACGTGTGGTGACGATAATGAAATTTCCTTTATTGGAGCTAACTCCCACCAGAGTATTTTTGAATTCATCCCAATCTTCTGTTTTTTTATTCCATAAATCATCGAGAACAAGCAAGTATCTTTTGTTTTTTAATTTCTCTGCGAACAACAGCTTGCTTGCTACCTCCATCAAAATCTTTGTCCCCTAATAATTCCAGGATCCTTTTGAAAAGCGTCATCTGATCGAAATTTTCTGATACACAGACCCAAATCCTTTTGCCGAAATGGGTTTCTGTACGATGGTGATTGTAGATCTTGCGTGCTAAAGTCGTCTTGCCAAGCCCTCCCATTCCGACTATGGGAAGGACTGAAAGGACATTATTGATTGAGCTGGTTATCGTCTTCAGAATTTCTGATTCATCACTTTCTCTTCCAATGACAATTGGATCAACAGTGAAGCTGGTAGTTTCCATGACCGGAAGCTTTGAAAGACGATATTCTTTGAAATCTCTGTTGAGGCCAAGGCTATCAGCTACGTCGTTTATCTTTTTGAAATTTTCATTTATGCCCTTGATCTTGTGAGACATCTTCCAACGAAATGCCAACGTGGTATTAGTATAGCAAGGGATGTTTAAGCACCCCTTTGGCTTAGTCTTGTGCTGGGTCTCGATTGTACGACGCAAATCTTCATATT